AAAGCCTTCTAGAGTATTTGGCATAACAACATGATGGACATAAGTGTACAATTTTAAGTATGTATTTTTCTATTTGAAATACAAATTTGAGGCACATGATTAGTTGTTTGCATTTGTGCAACATTCAATTTAAATTATAGAAAACCTGCTGACTAGTGTTCCATTCAGAAGCATTCTGTCCTAACATTTTATGCATGTCTGTATTCAAACTAGAATAGTATTAAATGAACCTTTTATATTTTAAATATTCAAGAGTTTTATATTCAAAATTTCTTTTCTTACTGTCAAACTAGTTTGCCTCAAGGCAAGGTAAGATCAAGTTAGACTCTCAAAGGTAGAATTAAATTTTATCATGGCATCCATCATAATATACAGTTTGCTTAATATGCAAATAAAGAGTATACGGATTCAGAGAATAAAGGATTTTTAGGTAGTATGTGAAATCCAAGGGACCACTTTTATAGAATAGATTCCTTTTAAATTTACATTTCCATCATTTTAATGAAAACACAGGGTAAACAAATTATAATAGAAATGTTTTAAGTTACCATTTTTCAATTCAATTTTACTTCTACTGCATGATTTTTCATGGCAGCTCTTTATTTAAAACTAATAAAAATAGGAGAGAAGAAATAAAATAAATATGTACTAAAGAAACCATTACCTCAGCCATTTTGGAGAGCTCCATCCAGTCATTTTTGTTGTAACTGCACATGATGCTGGCAATTACAATCTTTAGAAAGGAAAAAAAAAAAAATAAAGGAAGTAAGTTCAAGGTATTATGCTACTGTAAAAAAAAGATATATTGATATTTACATACATAAAAGGTAAACTCTATTATAAAATTTAGAGTTCAATCTGTTGAAAGATACATCATTAGAAAAGAGCAGGATATTATAGGGAAACAGAGGAAGAGGTCTCGGCTTTGGACTTATGTTAGAGATTTTCTCATTTACTACCTCTGATTACTGAGCATATTATTTAACTTTTTTGGTCCTCTGTTTTCTCCTTTCTGGGGCCCTGGTGGCACAGTGCTGAAGAGCTCAGGTGGCTAACCAAAAGGTTGGCAGTTCGAATCCACCAGCTGCTGATTGGAAACCCTTTGGGGCAGTTCTACTCTGTCCTATAAGGTCGCTATGAGTTGGAATCGACTCAACAGCAACGGGTTTTTTTTTAATTTTTTTTCTCCTTTTTAAAATGGAGATAATAATACTGACTTCATCATCCTCAGAAAGCTGTATTGGGAATTACAAGCATTTGTGTAGGTACAGAGGGTTATCTAAATTATATGCCATAGAAATGTTTATAATTACTGGTATAACCAAAAAGTTTCAAACTATGGAAGAGAAATAAATCAGTGTCTCATTCAGTCATAACTTATTATAGTATGGATAATAATACCTTACACTTCAATAGTACATTATAGTTTTAAATTTTATTTAATACTGATTATTTAACTATCATTTTATAGTAACCTGACACTGGCAGCTATATAGAGTAGCAATAACTAGTACCTGCTCTGACGCCCCAGGATACCCAAGTTAGCCTTGATTTTACCATTTACTGTGTAACCCTGGGCCAGGTACTTAGTTTCATCATTGATACAAAACGGATAAAACTAATACCTACTGAGAAAAGTAACAATAGATTCCTAAGACTTAAATGAAGTCCCTCTGTGGTGCAAACGGTTAAGC